TCGGGTTGGCACCCCGAAAATGCACCTAACATGCGCAGACCCGCACCCAAGGTCGCGCGGGAAGACGTTCGAGGAATTTTCGTGCTTGCCTTGGCCAGAGGCTTTGTTGCTGTGGCCTTTCAAGTTGACAAGGAAGATTTCAGAGGGGTGGTCAGAGTTAGTAAGGGTCGCATCCTTTACTCTTGCATGCCCAGGCCTTAAGTGAATCAGGGGATATTGTGGCTGCTAGGCATAGCTTCAGGGAAAACTACAAGGGCAGGATTGGGTTTTCTCGTGCTGTGCCAGGACCAAGGTCGTATGTTCAAGCAAGCCTGAAGGTTGTCCAAGGCCGGGTTCTGTTTGAACCTTACGTCTTACCTTTTTGGCTGTGAAGGTCCTGGGCAAAGCTGCCGCTGTTTAGTCAGGGGGCCCATTGAACGTTTTCGAACGAACGGGTCCCGATCGCTTGCACGGGGCAAGCCTACGCTTTTCGCATCTGGAAGGGCCCATTTGTTAGAGCCCACTTAGCATCACCCAATTTAGGTCAGCTGCTGACAACATGGTTGTTAGCATCTCGCAGATGCATTATTTGGGGGAGGGCATGGCTGGCGCGTCCTACGTGTCCATGTAGGTACGGTCATGGGTGGGCCCCCTTTTGGTATCCCCTTAATGGAGGTTGACACGGCGGCACCGTCCAAAACGGGGCCATTTGCTTGACACGCCGCAGATGACCCAAAGGCAGGCTGCCAGGAAATTCGCAACTCTTCGATTGCATTTCCAGCAGGATTTGGTCCCTTCCATTTGCGTTTCAGAGTGTTTGTTATTTCCCAGGCAGTTGGTGATAAGAGCATGTACAGAATCCGAACATATGGGCTTTCTGCGTATCCGAGATGTGGGCAGGGCTGCTCTGTACAGCGTCTGGTTGCTGCTTTGGCCCCTGCACTCTTTGAGAACCCAGCGACCAAAAGCGGACATCGAATTCGAGGAGGTTCTCAGCTAAGGGAAGGGTCTCTGGGCTCTTACAACACGTCCCTCGTCGAAGGCCAAAACGGAATCTGTCAGAATTAGAGGATCTCCAAAACGGCTGGTTTCCTTTTTGCCCTCTAAAACCAACCCAAACCAAGTTCTCCAAGAAATAGCACTCCTAACAGAGGCGATGGTCGTGAGCCTTTCCGGCCCGCGCAAGGTGCAGGGATGAGACTGACTCTTTGGCCGTCGCGACCCCGAAGTGATCGGAGCATGTCGGAGCTCAGAGTCAATCTGTGATCAAAGGATTTATGTGGGTTACCTGGAGTCTTCCTGAGGACCCTTAAAAAATGGTTCGTCATTACCAAAAATAATGGGATCATGGACCCATTTTTAAAGGGTCATGGAGAGTCTAGGTACAGGTGTTTCTCAAAGAATGGGAATTGTTCTCTTTTGGATCCCCCCTCCAAAAAAGAAAAAAAGAAAAACGGGTTGCAGGTGTTTCTGAAAAGGAGAACCAAGCAATGGGAATTGTTTCCTTTTGGATCCGAAACGAAAGCAACAGAAAGACAAAACGATCCCCGAAAGTAGGATCCTACAAGTCATGGCTCTTTGGATTTCATGATGTGCAGGGAGTGTCGAACAGGTATGTGGGGTAAGCGGTGGGGTATATATATATATATATTATACATACTAGTGGGGTATTTTACTTTGGGGGGTTTCTAAGGCGCTTCTTCTCTCTCTCTCTCTCTATGCCCTCCCACCAACCCTCCCACCAACCAACAAAGAAGCTGCCCCATCCACGTTGCCAAGCAGTACCCCCTCGTCAGGTTCCCTGGCAACGTGGTTGGGGCGGGGGTATCACAACCTGAAGTATTACAACCTTCATATGATCGAACCCTCACCCCTAACCCTCCCTCTCCCCGTTTTCCTATCTCCGATTCTGAGAGCGTGTTCAGAAGTTCGAGAGGACCAACGAGCTTGCAAAGGGTCGTTCTGCTGCAAAGCGCTGGATCACAAACACGAACTAAGGGGGTGTCACCTTCTGTGGATGGGCGAAATCCTGCACCACCTAAGAAACCCGGAATGAGGATTCCCCAACGTACATACCAACAAACGTCATGGTTTCAACCATGGTTTCCGTTCGTGGTGCGATTTCTGGATTTCGCTTTTCCATCCACAGTATCTGTGGCCGACCGTCCTGAGAGTGTCACTTGAAAGGGCGGCCTAGGTGTGCTTTCGGGTCAGGTCCTTCATTCAGCTCCCGGAGGTGTCCCCAAACACTGGGCCCCTGAGAAAACAAAAAGCGGACGGAAGTGAGCCAGGGTTATGTAAGTCTGTTTATGACAGGGTGACCCTATGTTCTTTTGGAACATGGTGGCAAATGATACGAACCAAACTCAAATCAGTCCTGAATTGATCTGCACAGTATATAAAGAAAAAGAAGAACCTGAAGTAATGGATCCGCACGGTGAGCTCGTGTTGCTTATGTTCCTGAGGGTCCAACATGTCATGGGGTTTGGTTGACTCGTGATGGCCTTCTACTTGCTCACGCCGCTTATGTTCACAGTATGTTCACTACACTCTGACATTTCACTGGATTCCCACCCACCCCCCCCCCCCTTTAGCTCCCCTGCATAAAAGCTTGGGCTTCTCTCATGCATTTGCCTGTTAAGTCAGGCCCATGACTCCATCAGGTGCCCTTTTCGTTCATCCTTTCTTGCATCCCCTTTCCATCCCCTGGTCTTCCGTTTCTCACCAAAACGGCCACGAAATTGGACCTCCGCATCCATTTTCTGGGACCCCTGTGTCTTTGTTTCTCACCAGGGTTGTGGGTTTATCCCCACTTCTGTGACACAAGGGAATCTCCCCTTTTATATGGAGGGTTAGTCTTTGGGGTTAGGCCCTTTTTGTTGTATCACAAATTCGTGGATTCCATTTCCCACAGCCCTGTTTGCTTTGCCTGTAACGTCCCATGACTCCATGAGGTGTTCTTTGATCCTCTTGTTGCATCCCCTTTGCATCCCCTCTTCTGTTTCTCACCGAAGCGGCCGCGAAAATCGGAGCTCCGCGTCGCTAAGGCCATGCTAAGCAGCGCAGCCAAGAGCTGTAAGCTGAGCCCAAGCCCCGGTGGTGGGAGGTCGGAGGCAAGCGAAGCGGTGGCTTGGGGAAGGTGTGGCGGGCGTTTTGAGGTCGGTCACGTTGACCCCGGAGTAATTTAAACCCTTGGTTGGTAATTAATATGGGGGTGTCCCCTTTTAGTGGGGATTCAGACCACTTTTGGAGGGACCACCCCGGAATAATAGGATAGGTTTATTAATCCTGGGTTAACATTAACCCTAGGCTGGTGGGAAAGGTCTCTGGGGGGAGGAGTTGTGTGCCCATTCACCTGAAACGGCCACATTGAGGTTGCTCATCAATCAGCCGGGAACAGTTGAAATTGCCAGCTGACTTAGCCATATCGACACTCGTGAGGTTGTTCATTAATGAGAGGGTGGGGAAGCTTTTGCCATTCCTTCCACCAACGTAGCACCTGTGGCTTGGCATTTGTTGCCACAAGTCCTGCGTTTCAGACCTCCAATTGTTGACCATTCCTAGGGCGGAGGAGCTATTGCCTCTCCACCTGAAGGGAGGGGGGCAGAAGTTCAGCCATTCAGAGCCCACACATTGCACCATGGCACCTGTGCTATGGTTCATGGAAGTCCTTTTGTGGTCACTGGCCCTGTTTTTGTTTTTGTTTTTAATAATAATAATTTCTTCCCTCTCAATGGGAACTGTGTGCGCTTGCGCCGTCTGGCGCCCATCGACTCGATGCAAAATCCCAGGCTCCAGAATACAGAAGGCACGGCTCAAGGAGGCACGGCAGATTTCCTTTGGGTCCTCAAGGGCTTGACATGTTGAGCCTAGCCAACGGATGGACTAGTGGTGTTCCTGTTGGTTTCCTTGACCAACACCACTTGAAGCAACCTTTGGAGGCGAAAGGACTGGTGTCACATTGGATGTTCATCCTACTTAGTAAGTAGCTAATAACCAAGTTAAGTGGGACAAGAGGGGTTGGCTTACTGATTCACACTGGACAACTATTCAAGAGCCCTGAGGGTGCTCCCACGGTTTCGATGTGGAAAAAGTCGGTTGGAACAACGGGTCCCACTGCTGGGCGGCAAGTGGTTGGGAGATTGACCTAAACTCTCTCAGATCGGATTCCGGCTTTCGATGGGGGAGGCGAAAGGAATCCGTTAGCGCAAAGGTTCCGCAAATTCGAGTCCAAAAAAGTTCGAGCGCACAATCGATGGCGTTGGACCATTTCGAAGCCAGCCTCTACGTCTGACGAGAAAATGGGGAGGACCTCAAGCTTGAAGATGTCCGGGCCTTGAGCCAGGCAACAGGATATCCTGATGGGCAAAGAAGCCGTACATGGGGGGGTTCTCAAAATGGTGGACCCCCTGTTGGATGGTTTTAGAGTGAAACCAAAAGGAACCCAGTCGTTTGAGGAGTACCCTAGTTTGAGAAACCCCCACATCTTGGGGCCGATGCCGGCCGCAGGTATTGGCCAATACCACTTTGGGCAAGATGGCAGCGAGCTGAGTGGCAACCCGGTGATGGGAGCAGCTGGGCATCTGTCAAAATTCGGGGACAAAGGAGGGGGGGCTTCCTGTCAGGTTGTCTAAACCAATTAAAAGACGAGTACTGTACCCTCAGGAGGGGAGGGGGGCCTCCTGTCAGTTTGGCTAAGCCAATTACAAAACAGGTACCCTCCACAAAGCAAAGCCCCACGCGCGCTCAAAAGGGGTCCGTTGGGGATAATTTCCACATTGTAGGACGCCCCCCAAAAAACAACAGGTACTTGGATGAGGCGCATAATTTGGGGATGCACTCCTATGTTTGGGATGTTCGACCAGTGGCTGCTGTTCCTTCTGTACCAGAATCTGTAAGTCCCCCGATGCTTTTGAGCTCCGGCCAATTCGGAAGTCAGGCAGCGCTGACACAGAGTATGTTGCCTATTCATTTTGGCCGGGGCATCTCTTGGATGTGTGGTTTTTCTCAATGGTCATCCCATGTGTCACGCGCCTTTTGATCAACCCCCAACCAGAGAAAACCCGTGTTTTCTGCAGGGTTTCCGAATGTATATTGCAATTACCAGACTATGTTGCCTGTGCATTTATTCCATTTCTCCCAGCGCCGGAAGCATCTCTTGGATGTGCGGTTCTATGACCCCAATGGTCATCCGCATAGGTGTCCTTTTTGGCTTTGCTAAAAAAAATGCGATTCCTGGTTTACCTGGTTTAATCATCTACCAGGGAAGCCCATCTATTTCCCCTGAAAGGACACCTATGGTCACCCCGTGTACGGCCCTCCCCGAGGTCCAGGATGACCCCAACCGCGCGGCGCGCTTCGGGCTCACCGTAGTGCCCTCCTGGTGGCAGAACAAGCCCTGGCCGCCGCCGCCCGCCGGGATTGCCCGGACAAGCCCGTGCTTGGACTGGGTCTCGCAGCAGGTGCTCTTTGACTAGCCTTTTTGTTGGGTTGGGAGGGTTCCCCTACTATAATAGACTGCAGAAAAAATACATAAAAATAAAAATAGGGTACCAACTTATTCTAACCTCTCAACTCTGGAGGATCTTGATGTTCCTTTGGCGCGGCCGCTTCGGCAAAAACTTCCTGGGCGTTCCGTTGGCTTTGAACTTTTTGGGGCTTGCCCGGAGTCTCCCTTCTGACCCTTAAATCATGGGTCCATGAGCCACGACCAACCATGTTTAAGGGGCATGGAGACTCCTGGTGGAGCATGTTGGTGGCAAATCGAAAAAAGTTCCCGGCCTTTTTGTTGGCCAGTCTACTCAGGAAGTGAGGGCGAGCTTCAACATCACTTGGACCAATCTCAGTTGAGTTTCCTCGTGCTGGAAAGGATAAATCAGTAGCACAACCCAGAGCTCCGGTGATGTTTTTTGTTTGTGTCTGTGCTTTTCGGTTTGAAAGGTGATGCTGGTTTGTTTTGTGTGGTGTTTGTTTGTTTTGGGGTGAACCCCTTCCAACACAATCGACGCCTGCCTTCTTGTCGCTTTGTGGTTTTGAGGGGTCGAAGCCTTTCAAAGTCAATTGCAAGAGCAGCAGGTGCCTTAAAGCAAGCCTTTTGAGAGGTTATCTACATTCCTGTTTGGGGATCATTCCCCCTTAAACCACCATGACAGAAATCACTGGCATGTTTTCAGAAAAACCAATGAACAGGGACATGAGGGAACAATAATTCGGTAAACCTTAGTCAATACCTACAAAAGGAACCACCGTATTCATCCAAATAGAACAGATTGCATTGCTTTGTTTACTGTATATGCCCTTTGAAGCCTTCCCTTCTATATTCGCACTGGCTACATGTTCCTTTGCAGGTAGTTTTTCGGGCTGGCGAGTTCTCCTCAACTTCAAACATGGGGTGCTTGTCCCAGGAGGGTTTCCTCAGTCCCTCAAGGTCCTCGTCCCTAGATTCACGGAAGCAGCTCAACCCAACCCATCATATTCGGGAGTGTGTGTTTTTTTGAAAGTACCCTGTGTGGTTTCTTTAAAGGGAAACCACAAGGAGACCCACCATTTTGATGGTTCTCTCAAGAAAAGATACCTATTTAGAAGAATCTACTGGGGGACCTTGGCTTCCATGTGCGCTCGCAGAGCAGTCCTTGTCCAACATGCCAAGGTTTCACACCTTGCTTCAGGTTGTCCAGGGTCAACCTTCCAAAAGGTTTCCCTTTTCCCACTGAACGGGGCAAAGGAATCAGTGGAACCCTTTGATTAACCAGCCATTCACATTGCGGCAAGTTGTGCTCATTGAGAACTGTGCACGCAGCATCTTTCTTTTCTTGATTGGGCTGATCAAATCGTTGCTCAACGTTGCACCATACGGTTGGGCAACGCTTACCTAGACTCTCCATGACCCTTTGAACATGGGTCCATGACCCCATTATTTTGGGTAATGACCCCATTTTTTAAGGGTCATGGAGACTCTAGACCCACTCTTTTTCGCTTGATCACTGCAGATGGATCGGTCAACCCGAAGAACAGTTCCTTTACAGGGGGTACTGAAGAGTGGGTTGGTTGGTTGGTTGGCTGGTTGGCTGGTTGGCTGGTTGGCTGTTTTGTTTGTTTGTTGGTTGGTTGGTTTGTTGGTTGGCTGGGGCCTGCTGGCCGGAATGCCTGGTTTCATCCCGAGCGGCTTGAGCTTAGGTGGTGTGCCACTTTAGCTCCAAGTCGGACCCCGAGTCAGCGTGCCAGGGGAAAAAAAACCAACAACAAATCCCCGACTCGATCCTCTCAGTAGCGCACTTCAGTGGGTCTTCAGTTTTCACTCCGCACTTTTTGAGTCCATGGACCTGACACTTGATTGGGGAATGAAATTGTGGCCACTCAGGAAGTGAGTTCTGATGAATAGACTCTCTATTGTATTTGTGTCTTTTGCCCCAATCCATGGACCTGAAATTGTGGCCTGGAAACTCAGGAAGCGAGTTCAGGGCAACAAAAAGGACAGCCACCCATTTTGGGGCTCCCTATTTATGCGGAGCCATACCACATGTGTTTGCAATCCTGCCCGGTGGCGACGGGGGCGGCGGTTTGGGACATAGCACCAAGAGGTTTCCCTGAAAGGCCGAGAAGGGACGGATTGTTGGAAGCATCTCTTGTCAGCGAGTCACCGACAAAAAACCAGGTCGTTCAAGTTTGGCAACCGATTTCGGTCAAACTTTGGGTTGTCAGCCAACCACAAGGCCTACCCAATAACGTTCCCAAAGGTTCCACCTTGATTTCCAGGTGACATGGTGACTCGAGTGAGTTGCTAAGGTACGAGTCGGGTGATCGCCTGTCAGATCGAAAACCATGGCGCATTGTCTAAGCTGTTCCCTGATGACTGGATCATGTTGAACATTTCTGGGGGTATCACAGCCAGAAGATGGCTGGTAGAAGAAGGAAACCAGGAGGAGGAACCAACCAATTTCGGGGGCAAATATGTTTCGTCCGAGAATATGTTTGTTGCCCAAACATTTTGGCTGGGCACAAGCAGGTCGTTCTTGTTCACCCCGATTCATCACTCTCGCTCCGAGCTATTACTTGGTTTTGGAGGGTCTCGTGTGGTTGGGATGGTTTGCTCGGCGCAGGGTTCTGAAGCAGTGTTTTGCATGTGGAAACTGTCTAGTAAGCTAGAGCAAAGGTTCTATCAGGGAACCATAGCCATAGCCTGCACAGCACTTAGCAAAGAGCAAAGGACAACCCAGTTGCAGAGAAGATTCCTTTGATATCGAACCCACTTTCAGCCAAATTGTTATTTTCTATATCATAAGTGGGTTGTGGCAGGTGCAGAGTACCAGGGCGTGGACTCGTTGCTTCCGCTTCCATTTGCATTAGAGCATATGGTTCTCTTTTCCCCTGTTGGTTTTAAAGGCAGCCGATCACCACTGGAAAAGGGGGTAGCTCAAAATTTGAGAGCTAGGGCACACTGCAGGTTTTAGTCGTCCCATTTCCCAAGTGCCATGTTGGCACCTGGAGTCTCCCTAAGGACCCTTAAATCGTTCCACTTACCTTTAGGAGCCATGTTGGGCTCCACATGATGTCTTGAAATCCAGCGGGTTCGTCAGCGATGGATGGCCACGCCGCTCCGCGAGGCCTTCGCAGTGGGCCATGGCCTTGCGGGCGAAGAATGAGGAGAGACGGAGGAAGGAAGAGGACGCCGCGGCGACGAAAACGCGCCGCGGCGAGTTTTTGTTGACGGATGTACGTAGAACACGTCCAATGAAGGGTGTTTCTGGTCTGAGTTGAATTCCCACTGAAAGGAGTGTACCCTCCCAAAGTGGTCTGAATTTGGACTGAAAGGAATTGGACACCCCCCGATGCAAAGCAACCGGGGGTTTGCTAGTCCGTTGTTTTCGTTTCTTCGCTCACCCTCAGAGTTTCTTTGGGCCGCCCTACTCTCGGAAACGACTGAGTTATTGAACCTGACATGCACGCCATCAGAATAGATGTTGGGCACTTGAAGATTGAGAACAGCCCTTCGGAAATACATTCCGCAGCCTTTCCGTGGTTTTGGGTCCCCAGCACCGAGTGCAACTTGTTTCCGCCCATTATGTAGACTGTTTCCAGTGAGGTTATTTCCGCCCTAGAAACTACCCTTTGAGGGTTGACTTTCATCGCATGCCTGAAGGATCAACTGTAATTCCAACAAAAGGGGACCTGTGTCCCTTGAAATCGAACGGTTACCGCAGTGCCCGCTCTCTTTGGTGGGTAGCCTTCAAATTCTACAAACAATGGATGTCCCTTTCCTCGAGGCTGCCGGGCAACGCGCATACACAAAAACCCTTTGGTGCGTCTGAAGCGTGCAGTCGCCAAAAACGCCATGCAAATTTGCACAAAGGCCATGGTGAGTAAAGATTGAGGATGGTCATCAAGCTCTTAGGGCTTTGAGGGAACCACCAAAATGGGTTAATTACACCCGCCGTCAAACAAAACAAAGGTACATGTAGATTGAAAGTGCTTCCAGTTTCTATATAAATAGATATATATATATACACATACATAGAAGTATGATTGCCCGTTTTGGATGCCTCCATGTTGGCTTTGCGCATTGATTCTTGTGCCGCCTTCCAATGGCAGGCCCAAATGGGAGCAGACCCAACTGGGAGCAAGTGCTTTGGAGCAGACGAAAAGCGAAGGAGCCAGGCATGACTCCGACTCTATCTTAAAAGGGCAGATGCAGAAATCAACCCCAGAACCATTGGTTAGCTAAGGCCCCCAGCAAGGTGCCCTTTCTCAGCCCTTTTTTGGTGGGGAGGGTTGCCCTACTAAAATAGACTACAGAAAAAGAAAAAAAAACAGTTACCCTTATTCTAACCTCTCTACTGGAGGACCTGGTTAGATGTTGCTTCATTTAACGGTTGCCCTTTAGTTTGAGTATGCGTGTTTGTTAACACCATTTCAATTGCTTCTGTGTTTGTTAAGACCATGTCAGTTGCTTCGGTTCAAAGGGAAACAAAGGGAACCCCTTCGATGTGTTGATCCCCCAATTTTCACCCAGCGCAAAGATCCTTTTTCCGCCAAACGCCGAAAGCCAGGAAGCGCGGCAGAGAATTCTGGAGCGGCGACAGTCCAGGCCTGGCTCGAATGGGACGCAAACATGTGGCTGTGGGTCAAAAATAGGCTCCCAAAATGAATCCCGGTAAATGGAAACATGGACCAAAACCTGAAATCCCCTTGTGGTTTCACTTTGACCCATACCCATGTTGCATACTACATGTTTCAGGGAACCAACTAGCAGGGATACAGGGGGAACCAGGGATAATCGGATACGGGAGGATTCCCCCCAAATTGCATCTTGACTAAGTTTGATATGGGAAATGGCGCCAAGGGAATCCCCCAAAATCCCCGCCCCCTCCGTATCCCTGCTTGTTCGTTTGTCCAAATGTTGCATTCTTGTTTTGCGGAAGGCGGAAAGATGGGACAGGCTCAACGACATGGTGGGCCAATTTGTTTTTGAAGCACGTTGAAACAACTATGGCTCGGCAACCTCCCTTTGAAATCCTAAAGGAACCCCTCCTAATTTGTATATTCGAACAAAACCAGGGACACTCCACATGGCCACATGGTGAGTTGTATTGCATTGAAGCGAAAGTGCTTGCATGTCTTGACACATGCCGATGCTTATTTTGAATGCACCTAAGAATTGATTAACATCTTGGAAGCAGCCCAGCAGTATCCAAACGACGATTCGTGGAACACGGTGTGTGTTATACCGCTGTGTAATCGAAGCTTCGGATTCCTTTGGTCCTGAATTTGCAGCAAAGCTCCTCTTCAATGGATCCCCAAGAGAAGTGTTTGAGATTGCCACAACTCCACACCCAGTCATTAAAGTCTTTCCGTTTCCTGTTGTGTTGGCACCGTTTCTATCTTTGCCGTCGGCCAACAAGTCTGCCTGTGCACCATGAGCAAATCCTTTTTAGTCCGCATCAGCGAAGGGGTTGAGCCACACTTGCCAGAATTGTGCGAAAAATAGGTGCCTCCAAAATAGGTCACTTCACCAAAATTCCAAAGAATCTGTGAGTTGGAGACACCCGCAAATGGACCGCTTGGACGGTTTCTGGACAGATTTTGAATGGCAGAGAGGAATTGGGTTTCGAGTGAACGTCCTTAGTCCGATTTGCTGGTGAAAGGTGAATCCAAGTTGTTTTCGCTTGAGTTGATTCAATTGATTTTACCTAAACACCATTTTCTCTAGGGGTAACGCGCGCCTGTTGAATACTGCCAAACACCCGGGAAACGGCTGGTGCAATGGTTGAAAAGAATGGACGAGGAAATCAGCCCCTAGGTCTGTGCTTTCTCATTGTTTTTTTAAAGGCAACACACACAGACACAGGCACACACACACACACAGCGACACACACACACACACAGACACACACACACACAGGCAGACACGCACACACACAGACACACAGACACACAGACGCACAGACACACAGACACACAGAACACACAGACACACAGACACCCAGACACACAGACACACGGACACACAGACACACAGACACACAGACACGCAGACACGCAGACGCGCAGACACGCAGACACGCAGACACGCACACACACACACACCATACCCACACCGACACAGAACACACAGACACACAGACACCCAGACACACACACACACACACACACACACACACACACACACACACACACACACACACACACACACACACACACACACACACACACACACACACACACACACACACACACACACACACACACACACACACACACACACACACACACACACACACACACACACACACACACACACACACACACACACACACACACACACACACACACACACACACACACACACACACACACACACACACACACACACACACACACACACACACACACACACACACACACACACACACACACACACACACACACACACACACACACACACACACACACACACACACACACACACACACACACACACACACACACACACACACACACACACACACACACACACACACACACACACACACACACACACACACACACACACACACACACACACACAGACACACACACACACACACACACACACAGACACACACAGACAGACACACACACACACACAAACACAGACACACACACACACAGACACACAGACACACACACACACACACACAGACACACACACACACACACCCACCCACCCACACACACCCACACACCCACACACCCACAGACCCACACACACCACAGACCCACACACCCACACACCCACACACACACACACCACACCCACCACACACACACGCACGCACGCACGCACGCACGCACCACCACCCACCCACCCACCCACCCACCCACCCACCCACCCACCCACCCACCCACCCACCCACCCACCCACCCACCCACCCACCCACCCACCCACCCACCCACCCACCCACCCACCCGCACCCACACGCACCCAATCTCATGTTTGTTGCCATTTTGCGTTGCCTTCGGTGCTTTGGTCGGTCTCCAGGCAGTTCAGCAAGGGCAAGACCGAGCTGGAGGAAAGGCCGCGCCGGTCGGCCGCGCATCGCGTTCGCGGAGTCGCTAGCGTTTATTGTTGTTTGTTGGTGATGTTTGGCGGTTCGTCGGCGGTTTTCTGTCAAGCTATTGAACTTCCCCCTGTTGGTTTCGGGGTTGGCTGTTAATTAGTTTATTTTTCTTGCGGGTGTTGCTTTCTTGTTTCTGCTGATAATTGCTGCGCGCATGTTCTTTAAAGTACCCCTTCAGGGTAGTTTTAAAGGGAAGCTAAAGACGCGACGCTTTTTGGGGTTGCCGTATCCTACTTCGAGACCGATCAAACTAAAAACAAATCACCTAGGCCACCTAGGGTAGGTTTCGGCCATCATGTCATTGCCCTCACGGAGTGCTCAGCTGAAGGCCACCTTTCAATGTCCAAATGGACCACTTCGCATGCCCAAATAGGGGAATCCTGTAGCAACGCCTGTCGCGCAAATGCTCACAGGACCGATAGCCGTTTCCCAATTCTGAGGTTGTTCCAAAAGGGAATGTTTTTGTTTTTGTTTACCGCTTTGTGCGCCCATCCAAAAGGGAAGAATCAGGGACGGGAGTCGACATTGGAACTGAGTTCCTTTTGAACCTGTGTTCTCCATTTTCGCCGCTTTAAAGACAGGGTCTCATTTCGCATGGCGCAGGCACGACGAGCGCCATGACAAAGGTCTTGTGGGGGGAACGCCTCTCGCGAATTTGAATCCCATCCCAGTGATTTCCCAGATTCCCATAATTCAAGGATTCCTCATTTCCAGTTTCCAATAGTCCCAGTGATTTCTTTTCCCAGGCAACGGAACCAATGGACCCCTGTCACCCTACTCGAGTCGAAGGCGTGCCCAGCAAGCCGAGCTCCTCAGCGGCCTTGGAAGCGCTGTCCACCGAGGCTCGCAGAGTGTCCCCACTGGGCCTGCGCACCTTGGCAGAAAGAGAGGAACAAGCCGCCGAGGTTTTCGACTGCTTAGGGCTGGTTGTTTTCTTGGAGCCCGGCTTGGAGGCCTTTCTGATGTGCGTGTTTATTTGTTTTTGTTGTTGTTGTTCGATTTAGCTAAAGCCAGTCCAAAGTCCAGCTGATGTTTGGCCCTCGCGGACTCAGTTTGGTCAGGTCTGCAGTTGGGTAACAGGGCCATGGGAGCTACCTGTCCACTATACCAAGGGACGGCCTTCAAAATGATTCTTGAGCTCAAAATGCCCTGGAAATGCTCGGGTCATTGTTTTGACCATTTCTGGGGGTTTGAAAGTCAGCAGCTGGGGTTATTTCCCTTCAACCTTCCGCTTGGGAGGCTGACTTTGTTGGTCCAGAAGCGTCAGCCAACTCTTCCCAGCCTCACGAGAATTAACTCACGAGAATTAACTTCACTTCCCCAGGGGTGGATGTCAGCGGGCATTGAGAGTCTGGTGACAATTGTTTGTGCCGCCTTTTTTTAAGGTCCAGAAAAGGGGTCCATAGTTTTGACAGCCAAATGCAAGCTTTTAAGCTATTCAGGAAGCCCTGGGAAGACTGATCACTTTGAATGCGGGGCCAAAGAGCAAGCTTTTGTTTTTTGTTCCAGGGACTCGGGCAGAAGACCGCAATATGGTAGAAAGACCAGGACGATTCCCCATGCAAGTGACTTGAGTAAGACGTGAGCATCGATCGCTTGCGCTTCTGAGGGCAAGGAAGGGCCAAGCTGCGCACATGAGGAGGTGCCTTGCGCGTTTGCCGTGCATGTGAGTGTTCCCAAAATGGTGTCTCAGGGTTTGCCGTTGAACAAAAGGGAATTTGCATCCAAAATCTGCACATGTTTCCCCTTGAGCCAATCGGCAAAGGTCTCCAACTTCCGGAAATGTGGACAAAGCAAAGAAGGCAATCGAACTGCTTCAGCCAGGTTTTGTTGTGGTTGTTTGTTTGGGGGGGGAAGGCCTGGTGTGCTCAGACCCATCCTTGAGCACGCTAGGCAGTCCCGAACCCCAGCAGATGCGGCGGAGGAACACTTGCAGGAAGGGTCCAGAGACCGCGCGGAATCTCGGTTTGCTTGAGGTCAGGCACAGTCAATATTCATTGTGAACCCCCACTGACGTGGATTGTTTTGCTGAGTCCCCCCCCGGTTTCCTAGTTGCAACTAGGTGAGTGTGACCCATGTCACTGTCATACTTTTTGCTACGGTAAGCATTGAATAGTGAGAAGGGTCACGCCTCACGTTGGGACTCACATGTAGTAAACCCGTGTTGCAGAAGGAGTTTGTTTCTACAAACTCAGTGCTGAAACATTCATGCATTTTGTAGAGGCTAGATGAAAACTTGATGTTTTTTGTTTGCGGGCCATGTTGAACAGTTGCGCAGGCGATGCCTTTAAGCTTCGGGAGCACTTGTCGGGAGTGTCCATTGAGTTTCGTTTTGGACGGACACGTAAGGAAGTATGTTTCTTGTGTTTTGTTGTTGGTTTGAGAGGGAAATTGTCATGGGTTCTTGGTCCTTGTTTCGGGCTGCACTTTTATTTATTTCTCCGATATGTCTCGAAACGGAAGCTCGGGATCGGGGAAACTCGGGATCCGAGGCCCCATGTTCACGGCGACAAATGTTTCTCCCGCAGGATGTCATGGAGCATGCCACCAAGCTTGCGCTCATGAACCAGCAGACGAAGGCTGGAGCGCACCAAAAAGCGATTCAATCAGCGGACAAAACCCGTAGGCGGCTTCTTCCTGGTTTTATGGAAGTTTAGGGCTATTAAAGCTCTTATCAAGGTCTTGAGTCTTGGTGAAACCAGAAGTGACTGGAATTTGGGTGCGGCTCCTTTCGCGCAGTGTTGGATGTCACGTTGGAATGTGACGCAAATTATGGGGCCAGCATGGGGCATGCATTCGTCAAGCTAGGCATGACACCATCAGGAAAGGAAACTACATCAATCGTGTTTCCATGGAGCGACATTGACGTGCGCTCGATTTGGCCGAGAAATGTATTCCCAGACTCAGACGTTCTCAGACTTGCTCGCGCGTGATGCTGGAAATTTGCTGTTTCATAATGTCAAGTTGCTTGAACTTAATCTGCATACTAGCTCCCCGGACTTGGGCATGCCAAGTGTAGGTGCATGGTATTTTCAGGACGCAGAGAGGAGCAATTCGAGGGGTTGGTTTCGTTGGCAAGCAAGTCTTATGGGACGAGTTGACAAGGCAAGGCTAAGCCACTAACAAGGCATTTTTTGGGGCGGTTTATGCGTTCTTTTCTCCAGAAATGTTGGACAAAGTCTTATGGCCTAGCCAAAGCCCCTCCCCTCCCATTTCGCTCCCTGTCCATGAAAATCAGCATAGGAGCAGTTTCTGCTGTGCTTTGAGAAGCACTCGGAGACCACCCCGGGCTACCTGAACAGCCAGGTGAGTCGCCCGAGCCAACGTATAGGCCATTGGTTGTTAGGTGCCGGGTCCATTGAAAGTTGCGGAGCAACAGATGTGAATCGAATCAAGCACAGTTTGCCGAGGGATCCCCATTCTGTTCAACCCATCGTTCCTTTCAACTACCGGCCGCTTTCCCTGGGTGTATTGAGTCTGAGGTTTCCTGGTAATGGGGAAGGCACCCCTAGAAATCATCTCAACTTGTCAATGTGTCTTGCTAGTTAGATTCTGGAATCGAGATGGGGTTTGTGCCTGGCGGATTTGAGATCCAGGGTGGCACGCTCGCTCTGCTTGGATTCGGCGCGCGCGAGGCGTTGCTGAAGGCACTGGCAGAGGCGCTGTGACTTGTTGTTTGCCAATGAGGGCGTGTTGCTTGAGAGTAATATAAGGGCCTAACTTGTCTACGGCTATCGTCACTTAAAAAAATAAGCTCGGGCGATATCCCCAACAGCACCACACCCTCCCAGAATCCCCGCGGAACGCTCCGGGACCATCCTTACCGCCGGTGTTGCTGAGGATGCCGCCTTGTAACTTTCTAAAGCAGCTACGAGTGACAGCGCGATCTCGCCCTGATCGGGGCACGACGGCGCAATCGGGGCCCGATCGGGGCCCGACGGCGCAATCGGGGCCCGATCAGGGCCCGACGGTGCAATCGGGGCCCGATCGGGGCCCCGACGGTGCAATCAGGGCCCGATCGTCCCGTGGCGCAAACCCAGCCACCCATATTATAGCTTTTCCTTAGCATGCGGATTATAACTGTATCTATAGCAAAACTAGGCGATGCCAGCTTGGTGCAGTTGACGGGGCCCGACTGTGTCCCCGATCGGGGCGCGATGGCAATCGGGGCCGATCGGGCCCAAGCGGTGCAATCGGGCCCCGACAGCGCAATCGGGCCCCGACCTAGGCTCGGTGAACCTTGCAAACCGTTCTCATGCAACTTTCGTGGAGCTCAGCGTGAAACTTTGTTGGAACCTTTCCTCAGGGCTGCCCCATAGCTTTTGCAGAACCTGGTGGCAACCTTGTGGAACGTTTTTGGAACCTTATCTCATAGCCCTCGCAGCCTCGTGGAATTGTTGGAACGCAAAGCCCACCAAGCAGCAATGCCAAGCATTTACTCTGCTGCACCGTGAGTCCCGCAGCGACGTGATCTGATTTGCCACAAAGCCAACATTTGCCTGAGCAAGTGAGCAAGTCACAAAACAGTGAAAGTGTGTTTTACGCCATTGATTTCGGTTTTGCTCCGTGTTCCGCCCAATCTTGATTCGATGGCTTTTCAGATGACGGGCGCACGACACACTGCTTCCCTCCAGGGCAAACCACGGAACCTTGCAGAACATTTCTGGAACCCTTGGTGGAACATTGTGGAGGTTTGTGGAACCTGTGTGGAATCGTTGCAGAACTTGTGGAACCCTGTGAAACTTCAGGGCCCACAGCCCTCGCAGAATCTCGTGGAACCCTGAAACCCTCACAGAACCGTACCTCAAACCACTCCGGACCACCCCGCAGCCCTCGCAGAACCTCGTGGAACCCTGCTAGAATCGTGCTGGAACCTTCATGGAACCTTACCTTGCAAAAGTTGGTGGAATTCTGGTGGAACCCTCATGGAATCTTACCTCAAACCAGGTCGAAACCTGGTGAAACCCTTGTGGCTGGTGAAACTCTGGCAGAACCCCGGTGGAAATCTGGAACCCTCGTGGAACCTTACCTCAAACCATCCCGGATGGTGGAACTTTGGTGGGACCCGGTGGAAATCTGGTGGAACGCTGGTGGAACTTGTGGAACCCTCGTGAAACCTTCCTCAAACCAGCCCGGACCACCCCGTAGCGCTTGAAGAAATTGCTGGAACCCTGGTGGAACCCTCGTGGAACCTTGCCTCAAACCACCCCGCACCACCCTGCAGCCCTGGTGCAACCTGGAACCCTGGTGGAACCCTGGTGGAACCCTTGTGGAACTGTTGTGGAACCTTCCTCAAACCAGCCCGGACCACCCCGCAGCCCTCGAAGAAATTGGTGGAACCCTGGTGGAACCCTTGTGGAACCTTACCTCAAACCACCCCGGACCACCCCGCAGCCCTTGCAGAATGTGGTGGAACCCTGGTGGAAGCCTCGCAGATGGTGGAACCCTGGTGGAACCTTGGTGGAACCCTGGTGGAACCCTGGTGGAACCCTGGTGGAACCTTAGGTCAGGGTCGCCCCGAACCACCCCGGAGCCTATCTGGGCTGAGACCCCAAAGCTTTCAGCTGTTGGGGAAAAAAAGCTACTCAGCGCCATTCTAATGATTCCAGCTGTGACTTTACCTTTCTAAGCTTGATGAGGGACACCAAACGGGACGCCGAAGCCCGTTGCGACGCGATGTGAGATGAAGTCTTCGAAGCTGCTTGTGATCTTTTCCGCCCTTGGAAGGGGTTGTTTCAACATGGGCAAAGGGCTCTAAGCTGGGACCTTCAAAAATACATTGTATTTCAGGACTAGCTAAATGGGAACAGCCATTATTTTCTTAGAGAAAGAGCCTCAAAAAGGTAGCGTTATGGGAGTCATGAAGGCTTCGGGGGCACGGCTTCCATGTGTGCAGAGGGGCGCGCTCAGATTCGTAAGGGAAGCCTCGATTCTGGTTTGGCCTTCCAGGCACAGCAACTGAGTGGCAAAGGTTGCTGTGGTCTCAACTGGGGGCCCAAAACGGCGTTGTTCAAAATGGTCGGATGTTCGGAACCTTGGGATGCTGAACGGTTTGAATAATTTTCCTGGAGTCTCCATGACCCTTAAAAAATGGGGGGCAATACCCAAAATAATGGGGTCATGGACCCATTTTTTGAGGGTCATGGAGAGTCTAGGATTACACCTGCCGAGATTGCCGTGCAGGTGGGCCTCCGACCAACCACCTTCAGAGAAAAGCAGCAGATAAAGGAGGCGCGAGATCCAGCCAGGCACCTTTTGTCGTCATGCCCACGAACCAAGGGACCAAGGAAAGACACCCTGCCCAGCATTCTTTTGTCAACTTGTGAAGGGTTTTCTCTCAAAACCTAGCCCACATACCATTTGTTCAACCATGGGAGAGGGTTTTGCTGGCACGAAAGGACGCGACTCGGGGTGCCCCCGTTCGGAAGGAAAAGACTCGAGTATGGGGGACGTGTGCTGATTGTCATTATCATCCTTCCTAAAATATGTAGCCCCAAGCATGATGATATCCTGGAATGGTACATGACTTGAAATGATATGATAGCCAGGAAGAACTTGTGGCCATTTTTAGATGCCAGGTAGGAAGTGGTAGGCCACGCGATTCTTAGGGGTCTATCGCTGTTAGGTTGGTCCACGAACGGGTCGAGCACTTCTGGTTGCAGGTGGTGACATGTTGGGAGGACCCCGGTTGAATCTTTAGTTGGATCTCCAAGCAAAAGGACTCCCCATGGATTTGTGAACCCCCTAAAGGTTGATGAAGCATAGGAGTAGCCGATTTTTTTTAACATAGGTTTTGGGGTAGGCCCCCTCCAAATACCCGCTGTTTCTGAAAAAGGATAAATTAAAATACGTTGTTCTTCCACAGGGGTCCCTACATTTCCCTTTGTGGTTTTGAACATCACCTTTTTGGCCCATGAAATGGGGGCCCAAATGGGAACCCATCTTTAGTCAGTGGTTGACATCACCCAACAAAAAGGGAGACTGGCTACCGGGACCGTTTGGACCGTTCCCCGATAGGTTCAAAGGCTATGCATCCTCGTTGAGGTCTTTTGGGGCTGGCTTCCCATGATGAGTTAAGGGGTTGAAACCAGGGGTTCACATATGACTTCATATGGGTGTTTGTCATAGTTTTTTTTGGGGGGGGTCTTTTTTTGGGATGGTTTCCACCAAAAACCAAGAGGTCACCAGCAAGTTCAGCCAGGTGCAGCAGATGGTGATCCACTCCTACCGCACCGAGGAGTCCCTTGAGGCGGAATGAACAGTCACGTTTGTTGAAATTGTGGGTGTGGGTGGACTGTTAATCAATGTAGCAAGTGACTAGTAGTGCCATGTTCCTGAGGAGGGTTGGGGCTTCCGTTTTTCATGTTTTTTCAGGGGGGGAGGGCAACAGACAATGTCAACCTTACCAGCCAGCGAGAAGATACACTTGCACAGGGGGTAATTGCCACATCGTCTCATGGGAGCGCGGTTCAAACCTGCAACGGCCCCTTGTTGGTGTCAAGCCCAGCCAGTTTTTGCCCTACCTCTTGATATTGGGGTCCGCGCAACATGCCTGGGGGGGGGGGTCGACAAAACCGGACCCTTTGGTATGGGTTTGAGTGTCAGACTGCCGGATGTTTCGGATGATGCAAGGCATGCTGGCGATGTGAAATTCAGGGGTTGGAACAGAATCGAAGAACAACTGCAGGACATGAAGGGAAAAAGGAGTGAACTGAATGGAAAATGAGGGGAATCGCAGGGACCTGGAACTGGAGGGAAACTGAAAGAAACAAAAATAAATTGTGGGAATGGAGGGAAATGACTTGAAATGATGGGAAAACCAAGAGAAACTGAAGAGAAATGAAAGGAAGTGCAGGAAACTGTGAAATCGGGAGGTTGAATTCACGGGAACTAGCCGGCCAGGCACCTTGCCCTGTCTCTTCCAAAAACTGTTCCCTTCTTTCTGGGTGAAAATCACAAGAAACCCAAAGGAAAATGCAAGTTCAGTTCTGTCTGAACAATGTAATTGATTTCTGCCCGTCTTAAACTCCACTTGAGCCCTAACTACAGTTCAGCATGAACTATATAGATATAGATTCGGAAAGGGGTTCCTAGTTAAATTGTAAACGGAACTGGATAAGAAAATCTCACATGTTCAGTTCTACTCGGATGCAAGCTTCAAGTCTTAAGGCTTGAAGTGTCGCAGTGCAAATGTGAAACCAATTGGATTTCCTATTCAGGCTTAGTTACACTTGAAAGTCAAAGCCATGGTTGGAAAGGAATTCAACACCAAACTTTAGATTACGATATAAATTCGACTTGATGTGGTTCCTTATGACATTAAATTCCAATCATCCCCCTGTGAATTTAGGGGGTGGGGTTGCAACAGCCATTCTCTAGCAAAAAGTTGGTTTAGTAGAAAGTCGACGCAGGTTGGAGAATAACCTATCTACAAAATGGGTTCCTGAACTCGACGAGGCGTTTTCGTTGTTACCATGTGGTCAGAACCAAATGCTGTCACCTAAGCTAGGCCTCTATGTCGTGGCGGCCCCTGAAACGTAAGCGTCATTTTTGTAGTGGGCGAGTTGGCTCAACCCTACCAGTGTCCAAGCTTTATTAGACAAACACCCATTCTGTAGTGCATTTCCATCCAAACAAATCCATTAGCAGCAACCTCATTTTCGCGTTGCCAGCATCTGCGGGAAGTCGCTAGATGGCGCTATTGGAGGGAGGCAAACAGCTTCAACCAAGCCCAAGCTCTACAAAATGCACCAGTCTCCAAGCCGGATTTCGAGAAAATGACCTAACGCACGACTCCCCAACATGGCCCGCAAGCAAAATGCATGAATGTTGCAGCACTCATGTTGTAGAAACAAACGCCTTCTGAGGCGTTATTCAAAAAGATATGGGGAGGTCAACCCCTCCCATTCTGTAGGGGAAGTCCAAGAAGGATTTCCAAACAAACCTTCAGCAACTCTTTTGGAAAGGAATGCCTTTTCCAACAAACGCAGGACATCTTGAGACAACCAGGAGTTGCCTCCTTTTGAGAAGCGACGATTTTTGCCGCAGGTTTGCTTCACTTGCATCTGTTGTTTCCTTTCTGGGTTGCTTTGGTTCTGTTCATTTCAAGTGGGCCGCAAACAGAAACGTTGGGGTGAAGCTGTCCAATGCACAAAACGGATTGCAAACGCAAGGTGGGCCTGGTGAGGGGAGCATGGGGTGTAATCCTCGCTGTTTGTTTTGTTGGTTTTCTCGAGGTGTTGTTTGTCCAGTACCAAAGCCGAAAAGTCCGCAAATCCTTCGCCCTTTATTGTGGCGGACGCAGCGCGAAACGTATGCTCGTCCTCGCATGGTCGGCTCATCAGTCGGCGACACACGTCGCCCCTCCGCGCAGTTCGTGCACCATCCTCTACAAACAGGACGATATTCTGGTCTTGTGTTGAAGCATATGCTCTGCATGAGGCCCTGAGGTCCCTAAACCCACCCTAGACCAACCCTAAAACAGCCCTAATCCCACCCAACCCACCGTACACTGCTAAGCAAACCCTAAACCAACCCTAAACCCACCTAAACCCGACCCTAGGCCCAACCATTTCCTACACATGCCCTAAACCAGCCTAAACCGATTGTAAGCCCACCTAATCCGACTGTAAGCCCGCTCTGAAGAAACCAAAGCCCTGCCCAAACCACCTAAACGTTTTTTGAGCCCATCCCAAAGTCAGTCTAAGCCAAAGCTTCTGGTGATGTTGGGCGTGTTGAAAACGATACTGGGGATGTTGACGGTGCTGGCGTAAAGCCAGCAGTTGTGGTTTTATAGCGAATGCTGAAGATACGTAATTTAGGCGCCTGCCAAAACAGGAAAATAAAACACGCTCCCGGCGAAGTTTTCTCAAAGTGAAGAACCATCATACTGTTGGGATTCCCAGCATAGGCTGGGGAGGGAAACCAGCTTGAACAACATTAGGGCTGGGCAAGATTTATTTAAATGAAGCCAAACAGAGATTCTTGAAGCAAGTCCCCTGCAGATCGACATGGACCCCCAAAGACCACCCAATGTTGGGATCCGAGTTCGTTCCGGAAGTGCAAAATGCAGGGCCATGTGAGCGCTGAACCACCCAGCCCACATCAAAACCCGGGTAGATGAAGGTTAGGGGCAGTCCCAGCCGGAAATCGCTGCGGCCGCCGTTTAATTTCCTCACATGGAGTTGGGTATACCATTTGACTACCCTCCCTCCAACTAACATGGCAACCGACAGGGGCTCCCTTCAAAAGGAGAATGCATCTTCCAGGTACCTCGCCACGGCCATGTTAGTTGGAGGAAGGGTGCCAGGTGTTGACGATGATTTTAAAAAAACTCATGGATTTGGGTAGTACGGTAGACCATTTGACGACCAGGTTTTGATGACTTATGTCGGCCCCACCTTTTAGAGGGCGGTGGAATCCTTCGGTCCGCAGGCGCAAGGTGTGAAGAACCCCCTGACGGAGAAGCGCGGCGGCTGGCTCTACGAGGAGTTCTTTGCCTGGCGCCCCAAGAACAATCCATTGGAAAGCCGTGGGTGGGTTTTTTGGTGTACCCCCCGAATGTTTTTTTGGGTTGGGTGTGTGTCTCAAAGGGTGTACCCCCCCCAAAAAAAAAACAAAAAACTGGGTGAATTTGTTTTTGGGGGAACCCCTTCAATAACTGAAATGGGGAACCACATAACCGCTTCGGTATGTTGGGGTTTTCTACAGTTACTTTGAAAAGTGGCCTTGATTGCACAACCTTTTGGCGCCAATGTGGTGAGCTTCCTGTGGGTCGGGATGATGGTGATGTAGCCTGTGTCAAGTCGGGGTGCCCACACATATGCCGTTTTTGCTTGGTTGGGTTTCCGTCAAAGCAACCTGAAACGCGGTAGCCGCCATGTTTGACAGATACCCAAATTCGTGGTGTCCTCCGAGCACATGTTTATGCTTTGGGGTACTGAATCTGAACCTGTTATTTTTTGTGGACCCCAGATGTGGGCCAAGAACAGGACAATTCGCGTTTTACCCCTAGGGAGTGTCTGTTTTGTAGCCTTAATGTATGCATACAGCTACTACTATTACTGTTGAGGAACAGCCTCAGTAGGTGGACATCAATTCCCATATTTGCAGATGCATGTTTGGGGTTGTTGGGTTTGGCTGCTCAAGGGGAGTCCTGAGAGAAGCAGCCATTTTTTTGGGGGTTTCTTGCCTTGCAGAGTGTTTGACTCTTGGCGAGCAAACAGGGATTGGGGTCTGTGCCTAAAGGGAAGGGCAAGGGTGGAAAGCTACCATAGCATGGATCCTTCATTTCGTTTAGGAGTGTCATTGTACATGTTGCGCATGTTAGTCGCTTGTGTTTTTGCACATGGAGCTGCCTGGAAATCCTGCTTCAGATCAGCAGCGCTCACCACCTGCACTGCATCCGACGCTGAAGCGCACGCCTGCCAAACTATTTATAGGTGAAGTGGGGCAGGTTCACTCACCCGTTGCTCCTGTGAGCTCTGGGCACATCACACATTGTGGCAAAAATCACCGGGCGATGTGCAAAATGGATATCACCCTCCGACATGTCAGGGGCCCGTTGCTGCAACCAATCCAAACCAGGGGGAATCTTCCTAACATTTCAGTTGGTCTGTTTTCCCCTTTCTGCGGTTGCTTGCAAGGGAAACGAAAAGGAAACCCTTGCCATGTTTTGGAACAATATCCTACCCGACACTCATTTGGGCCCTCAAAGCAATCCTTGTAGATGAAGAGGGGACAGTCCTAGCCAGAAATGGGGCAGGTCTTTCTTTAAAAATGGAGCCCTTTTGGTTTCAAAAAGACGCCACAAGGAAGGAGAGTGTGATAGAAAATCATCAAAAACACACCGTGTTTCAGTGGTGTTCTGAAAGGACAACCACGGTCCTGGCCAGAAATGGGCGTGTCTTTCTTTGGGAAAGCACCCCCTTTTACTCCTTGCCATTTGCGGAAAAGAGTCCCCCCACTTCGGTGCCATTGCCTTTACTGCTATTATTGGCTTTGAACTTTAGTCTTCAACTTTTTGGGTGAAATCAAGTTGGGCTTTCAACTAACCCCCCAAAAAGTTAAGAACTTGTTTGCAGGGGGGTCAACAGCAAGCAAGCAGGCCCTTTTGGGATTGTCTATTGTTGGTTGGGTTTAGGACTTATTGTATCTTCCCCATATCCAAGCAATTCATTTGACGCATTCGCAATCCATCCATTCTTGGGTCAATAGCAACCAAGTTGCGATCGCTCCGTTCGTTTCGCTGAGGCCATGGCTGCCACCTGTCAGGAGCTGGTGCGGGACGAGCAGATCGAGGCGGACCAGGCAACTGGGCGCCTTTGGGGGTGTGACGTATTTGCTTTGGTGCATTTCGCCAAGGGATGTTAGGACTTTAACTGTTTGCCAACTAATGGGTTTTCCACTAAACCGCTAAAAGTTAAACTTTTAGCAGGGGAGCAGAAAGCAACCGAGTTTTGGCATGACTGCCTTTCTGTCGTTTGACATTTTGTTTGTTTGTTGTTTGTGTCTTGAGTAAGTAAAAGTTATATTTGGTTTAGTTCATGTTAGTTTTGTTTGGTTGGCTGTGTGATTTTTTATATGTTGTTTGTTGTTGTGTGATTGTTTTGTGTGTGTGTGTGTACGTGTGTTGTTGGTGTTAATGTTGTGTTTGTTGTTGATTGTTTGGTTGTGTGTGTGTTGATCTTAAGTTTGCTTGTTTGTTTGTTTGCTTGCTTGCTTGCTTGGTTGTTTGGTTTGTTTGCTTGTTTATTTTTGTTTGTTTGGTTGACGTGTTTGTTTGTGTGTTTGTTTGTTTGTTATTTGTGTGTGTGCGTGTGTGTTTGTTAGGCTGGTGTTTTTGTATGTGTTTCTTGTTTGTTTGGTTGTGTGTGTATGTGTGTTGCTGGTGTTGCTGGTGTTTTGTGTTTGATTGTTTCGTTTGGTTGTGTGCTTGTTTATGTGTATGTGTGTTGCTAGTGTTGGTTGTGCTTTGTCTTTTTGTTGCTTGTTTGCGTGTATTTCGGTGGTTGGTTTGTTTGTTTGCTTTGTTTTTGCTTGCTTGCTTGCTTGCTTGCTTGCTTGCTTGCTTGCTTGCTTGCTTGCTTGCTTGCTTGGTTGGTTGGTTGGTTGGTTGTTTGTTTGTTTTTTCTGTTTTTGTTTGTTTGTTTGTTTGTTTGTTTGTTTCCCCAGATAGCTGAAAGCTATAGGGGTTCTAACTTCTAATAAAAGGGGAAAGTGATGTGCGTGATTGGGAGGGTGCTAGGGGGCGTGCAGTTTGGGTGCTGGTGTAGGTGCTGTTTGGGGCGCTGTTTGAGGTGCTGGTGAGATTGACAGCCGGGTGCTAGCGTACATGCAGGTGACGGTGCAGGTGCATTTTCGCAAGATTGACGGTAGGGTGCAAGCAGGCATGCAGTTTGGGGTGCTGGTGCGGGTGGTGCTTTGGGATGCTGCTTGGGGTGCTGTTAGGTGCTGGTGACGGCGCGGGCGCATTCTCGCGAGATTGACAGCTGGGTGCTTTGGGGGTGCTGTTTGGAGGTGCTGTGTGGGTGCTGTTCGGGGTGCTGTTCCGGGTGCTGTTCGGGGTGGCGGCGGCGCATTTTGCGAGATTGATGGCAGGGTGCACGGGGGCATGCAGTTTGGGATGCTCTTTGGGGTGCTGTTGGAGGTGTTAGTGACGGCGCAGGCACATTTCTGTGAGATTGACGGCCGGGTGCTGTTTGGGGCGCTCTTCGGGGGGTGCTGAGGGAGGTGCTGGTGTACAATTTTCAGCATGTTTTTCGCTATCTGGGGTCTATGCTGGTGTAATTTGTTTGTTTGCGTGTGTGGTTTGCATTGTGTTGTGTTATGTTCATTGTTGGCGCGCCTCGTTGTTCTTTGCTGTTCTTGATGTGTGTGTGTGTGTGTGTCGCTGTTGGTGATGCTGCTGTTGCTTTGGCCTACAGCCCGCTTCGATGGCAAATGCGCGCCGATCTTAAGGCTCCTACCAGTTCCTGCTTCTGCTGCTCCTTGGGGCTTGTTGAGTGCCAAGTGCGGCAGCTGATGGGTTGGACCATTGGAAGGGGAGCCAACCCTATCTGCCGACCTGTTTGCCTGTAGAAACAGGCGAGCCATGGGAGACTTCAGTGAGGGTTGGGACAAAGTGTTCAGTTTTGAATGGTGTCTCCTGAGTTTTTGGGGCACCCTGAAAGCTGCATTCCCAAACCCTAGCTGGATAGGCTGGATACATGATCCAATCCAGTTCGAGTTGGCCCAAGATTAGACAAGGCGCGGGCAAATGCCGAAGTCAAACTCGTACGTTTGTGTGGACCTTCCGAAGTGGGCAAAGACGGCTTTGTGCGATGTAGCAGCAGCCCTGCAGCGCGAGCCCGCCAAGCATCTTGGCGTGGAAGGCACGAGCTTCCGTCCGCACACGTTGGAGTCCATACACATGACCTGCCTCTTTTGCGGCAAGTCGCTCTGTGAGCTGAGCTCGGGTGATCTCAGCCGCTTCCACGGAGCCTTGACGCAGCTGGCAGGCCTTCAGGCAGAGGATGCAAGGCTGGAGTTCCTGCGATACGAGCTTTTTCCGCCCGACAAGCAGAATGAGGTGGTTGCACTCTTCAGAGCCTCTCCCAAGTTGCGAGCTTTGCAAGCCGGCACGGTGACAGCAGCTGGAGCGCATGGCTTGCAGTGCCTGAAGGACGTCGTTGAGCACTCGGAGGAATCATGGTGTGCTCATGTCACGTTAGGAAAGATTGGTGCTAAGAGTGACAGTGTTGGCTCGCTGAGGCTACAACATCTGCCTTTCCCGTTCTCTGCAGCACTCTCAGAGTCTGGCTCTATTCACGCAAAGGGCTTGATCCTGGTGGGTGACCAGCCCAGCAGGCTTCACTTGGACTGGCACTTGCCATTTCTGCTGGGGCCGGGAGATCATGCTCGTCGTGCGCTGGAAGAGCTTGCAGCGCAAGAGCCGAGCCTAGCGCTGGATCATGCCATGGAAGCCCTTGCCGCAGGCAACCCAAGTGGCTTGGCGCTCGCAGGCGTGGCAGAGGCTCAGCTTGGTCAGAGCGACCAGGCCGTTACACACCTCCGGGAGGCCTTGGCAGCTGAGTTTCCCAAGCACCTCCAGGCCTTTCGTGGAAAATGCGTCTCCATGCTTCAGCGCTTGGAGCAGAAGACGCGAGCGGCTGCTGATTGAGAGGATATGGATCGAAACGTGCTGCCCTGCCAGCTGTCAGTCCTCCCACTCATGACGTGCAGTCACCCGGAGCAGTCTGCTAGAGTATCCTTGCTCATTTTCTGGTTGCAAGTATGAGTAAACCCATGTTGTATCCTTTGTCATGATTCCCTTGGTTGAAAGCCAGCTAGACTCCGTTTTTGCTGCCCTGCCAGGGCAGTCTAGACTCACTGGCTCTTGTACAGTGTACAGCTGACGGAGGGCCAGTTCGAGTGGCAGTGCTCTCAAAGGATCAAGGATCAGATCGCTCGGAAAGCAGGATGAAGACCTGGAGTGTCCACGACCCTTAAAAAAATGGTTGGTCATTACCCACAATAATGGGATCATGGACCCATTTTTGATTCGGGGCCTAGGGAGAGTCTAGGGAGACGGTGTCTTCCTATTTCTTCCTTGCGAAGGCGGGCCCAGGCCTTGGAAAAACCCGCCCCAAACGTCTCGCTTCAGAGGCTCTTTGAATCGAAGGGCTGGGAAATATTTTGTAGGAGTCGTTGGCAACAGTGGTCTTAGTTGTTCAGTGGCACCCTTTTTCCCTTTTTTGTTTGATGGCTGCCCACTAAAAATGGTCTTCCCAAAAAGGTTCCCTTTTTTTCCAGGGTCACTGAACAACTGAGTGGTCCGCGTTGAACCGTCTGAAGACCTGGTTGCAAGCGCTTGCTCGCACCACTTGCAAACTGCAGTGGAGATCAACCATGGAACTCCTCTTTGCTTGCCTTTCCAACTTGTCTGGTGCTGACTTAGTGGCAAATTCCAAATGGCGGGAGCACTTTCTGGGATGCTTTGCAGAGCCTTGAGAAGCCTAGGAACTGCCTAAGGGCTGCTGGTTGCAATGAGTCGGCCAAGTGGAAGACCCAACATGCAGCAAACCGGCGATCCCCAGGGCCATAGGCTCGTTTCATCGGCTACGAATCCTTGGCGAGAAGCAAGAAACTGCCATTTCTTTCAGGGATCCCTTCCTGGCAGAGTTTGCAGCCAATCAGTCTAGACCTTTATTTCAACCAGATCTATTCCGTCGGCCAAGTGCTGCATGTTTTCTGAACTGCCGGTATGGCGAAGAGGCAGGGATGGCCTACTTGGGTGATTTTAGAAAGGGTCGAATTCAACTTTGATCTGTTTCCCGGAGCACCGTATTAATCTGAGTGAGAGGGATTCTCGTTCCCGCAGATGCCGATTCCTGATTCCCCCCATCCAATTTTTGATTTATCTAGGGTCAACATAAGGACATTGGTGTGGAACAACGTGGTAGAGAGTCCAGGAAAAAATATGGTTCCCAACCATGAAGTTCTGAAGTTTGGAGACTTCACAGCGATCTCTGCGCGGTCTCCGAACAATTTCGGCAGGGTATTTGCCTGTCCAGGCTTCCATCTGGGTGACCCCTGAGTTCTGACATGATGCTTCTCCCTGATCGGCTTGGATTGGTTTGATGCCTCGGGGGTTGTTTCAAATCCACCAGCAAAGGGTTACCTGAATGTACCTTAAGCGATCGGCACCCAGGCTGCTCCGTTCCTAGGCGCTGGCAAACCAGAACGAATGCGAGCTAGCAGTGGTGGGCGACCTGCGCCAGGCGATTTGTGCTGAAAATCGTCCATTTGGATGTGTCGATTTGTTTTCTTCTTTTGTTTTTCCTCGGGGGGTTTCCCTTTTCGGTGGGGTGGGTTTCACAGGGAAACCGAAAGAACAACCACCAACTGGATCCTCATCCTTCCGTCAAAGATAGGGTTGCTTTCATGGGATGGACCATCGGAAATCAAGCAGGGGACTTTATCCACTCCATGGGCAAGGGGTGGGCAAAGTTTAGGCCAAAGGCTTCTATGGGGACTATGGTCCACGGACGGAGTTTTGACCATGGCACACATGAAATTGTGTTTGTTTTGGGTTTTCTTTTTTGGGACATGTTTACTCCACAGCAGATGAAGACGGAACCGATCAAGACACATGCGCTAGTTAAAAGGAGTATCCTTTTGAGGGAACCTCCTTTTGTTGGGTTTCATGTTGGGTTGCAAGAACTTTGCCGGGAATCCGATCATTTCAGGGGTTCCCCTTTGAAAACAAAGCCATGGATATGTGTCAAAAAGGGGAACTCGTGTGGATGGTTGTCCTGGCGGTTTCTCTTTCACGGCGCCTTTCTCATGGACAAAACCCCACCCCAGATGTTCTGCCGAGTCAGACGTGTTTCTCAAATGTTTCACCCGGTGCCCTGGTAAGGGATGGTAAGGGAAACTCAAAAGG